CCAGTTTTCTCTTGCTTCTCCTCAGTGTTATGTAAGGATCCCCTGCATGGGAAGGAAAGGGTGGGAATTGTGTTAGAGGCTAGGCAGAAAGGAGTCAAAACCTGCATCAGGCTGGTTCTCTTCGGGGCTCTGCGACCTGCTTGGACCTACTCAGAAGATGTAGGCATTGGTGTGAGGCTCTCAGAAGGAGGCTGCCCGGAAGAGCTTTGAGAGGCAGTGTGTGGTGTAGCCCAGGAGAGGCCCCTGAGTGCCACCTGAAGGAGGGCTGTTCTAGGGAACCGCTGTTGTAGGAAGGGGCACAGGAGGAGAAACCAGAGGGGTGAATTCCTGTCCTCACTGCCTCGGTTAAAACTGGAGAAGGAAAACCAGCGACGCTCATCTCACAGCCTCTGGGTGGGTGCTCAGGCCTCGGTCCCCAGGAGGAGACACCATCCTGGGATGCGTGAGTAAGGCAGCTGGCAAAAGTCAGGGAGGGAGAGAAAGGTGGGAGGGGGTTTAGGGAAGGGAAAGTGTAGAAATGGGAAGAAGGATGGAGAAAAGGAAACTGGTGGGAGGGTGAGGAGGACCAGTGCTCAGGGCAGGAAGGAGATCCCAGCAGGGAGGAGAGGAGGCCAGGCTGGGAGCTGAGGGGGGAAGGTGCTCTGAGAAAAGACAGATGGCAGAGATGATGGAGGCAGATGATTCTTGTGGTTCCTTTGAGCACCTCACCAGGGAAAAAGGCAGAAAGTACCATGAGCAAAAAGAGGAAAAATGTGGGAAAGTAGATGTGTTCCAGAAGGATGATGTCCAAGATGGAAAGAAAATAGGATGAACAGAAGGAAAAACGTAGGAAGAGGGACAAAAGAAGGTGAAAAGAGGAAACCAGAGAAAGAGAAAGGGAGACATTCTGGGAAAGAATCAGAGAAAGTAATTAGATCCTCTGTTCTTAGTAAGAGAAGTGCTGACCTGTTAGGGAACATAAGAAAACGCAGATGGGAAAGTCGAGGATGAGAGCAGCTGTAAAAGGCTTCCTAGCGCTGTTCTCAGAAGGAGCTTCCTGTTTCCTAAGTCCCCCCCCCCAACCCCCCGCCCCCGGAAAC